TCTCGCCCTGTGGTGGAATTCTTCAGACAAATTTTCAAAGTCGATATTTTGACCCCAAACTTTGGCAAAATGTTTCCTATAGTTTTCTCCAGTCTTCCGCAAAGTTTCAGCCAAATTGGAACACTCTCCGAGTTTTCGCGGAGTTGTTTTCCTTTTTTGCCGATTCCCTGAATAACCCCATAATAGTTTTCAAATTTTCGCAACGTTGTTTTTCCAAGTTGTTTCGAATTGGTGGTACAACAGTTTCAGAGACAATGTTTTAAACGATAAATCCTACCTATCTTCTCTTTTTTCAGTTCAATGCTCCTCAAGCTTCATTCATCTCCGGACCACAAGTCAGTAACGTCGCTGGATTCACACCTGGTGTTGCAGAACAGGCTAACTTCTCGAGATCTGTTATACCTAACGGACCTTTTGGTAATAGTAATGCTGGCGTTGCTACCTTCCCTGCTGATGTATTCGGAGGAACTGGAGCTGCAGGACTGTCGGCAGCTGGAGCTCAGTCAACCAGAGTTATCGTAATTCGTAACGTATGAGACTATATTATACATGACACCCAACCAATCTTTTAATTCAGCTCCCAACCGATTACACCTGGCAAATTGTCCGAGACCGTGTTCGTAACTTTGGAGAAGTTGATTCTGTTGATATGATGGCTCCGGGAGCTGCTCGTATTCGCTTCGCGTCATTCCAAGACGCCGAACGTGCTCGTGCTGCTTTATATGGAACAACAGTTGAAGGAAGAGTTATCAGCGTCGATTATGCGTGATTCCTCTTATTTGTTAAATTATTGTCTCAATTCACTCTTACGAATCATGATCTTTTGCTCTTTTAATTTTACCCCATTCTCCACTACAATCATCTCTTTTCTTCCAAGAACTATTCTGTTGGAAAACTTTAAACATTGTTTATAATAAAACCTTGAACAATAAAATCACACTATTTTTACTCTTCAAAATTTCATATGCAGAGAAAGGAGCCAACAAACTGAAGTTTTAATAATAAGTCGTGACAAGTGTCTTCAGATGAGCGGCACAATTTGAGGTGCTATTCACAAGAAGACGACAACGACAATTTAGTGTGTTGGTCGCATCAAACAAGAGCTTCACGCAATCTGATTTGCGCGCGCACCCGCTGACGCCGTTTACCGTATGCCCTTAATTGCGTTTTGAAGACGTCTGCTTCATGAGAAGAGATAGTCACGCCCACAAATTCTTTTGTTAGAAGACGTCTGTGATGAGCATTTTGTGTGTGTATTTGTATGCGCTCAAAACTCACAAAGCGTTTGTCCATGTTTTTGACGCTTTCAGAGAGATTACGGTAGTTTTAAAAATCAGAAAATACATCATTTGTGCAGTACTTGCCGAACTTCTCCTCATTTCCGCTATTAATATTCTACAACAAAAACATTAGAGCGGTGGTCGTGGCCGAAGGTCCTACAACGAAAACTACCGTAACCTAAAAATATTTTATTTTCCGGATTTATTTTCTCGATTTTCGTGCGTTTTCAGTCAATTTTATTTTTATTTTTTCGCAAACAAGTCAGAAAATAAAAAAAATTTAGTGAAAAAATTCACTACAAACGCAAGAAAATCGAGAAAATAAATCCGGGGGATAAAAAAAAAAGTTTAGGTTACTGTAGTTCTCGTTGTGGGACTTCTCTTTTCCAGCTCCGACTTTTTATACCAGAATAATACATGTGCCTAGTATCGTGTCGAAAGAACCATGTTCTCAGATATATATCCCTTTGATTTGTTGAAACAAATGTCGACCTAATTTTGTAAAGAACTTCTTGTTTTGAGTTCAAAGTAAAAGCGGTGAATTTACTTTTCGAGAGTTTCAAAGTTTATTATAGTTGACTGAAATCGTCCTCGTATGTCTGAAAAAATTAAGAAAAAAACAATTTTCCCAAATAATTCTCTTTTCTCTCGTTAATTACACTGAAAACTTTCGGGAGTATATTATCATTTTCAAATCTGAACAACGAAATTAACCTTTACAGTCTCTACCCTCTCTTGTGTGTTCTCTTTATCTCTGTCTATTCGCTTCATAAAGTACACCTGTCCTTTTTTTTAAATCCATCTGCTCTTTTTTAATGGGAAAATGAACCGAGGAGGCGGGACTAATGAACTGTATCTTCGCCGTTTTGAGACGGCAAGTGTTCAGTATTTCAAATAGAACATTTTTAACTGAATACAAATTTTGTGATTGAAAAAAAGGGTATTTTTATAAACAGCTGTTTCTTTCATATTTGGTATTCGATATACCGTATTTCATCTAATAAAAAGACCACCCAAACCGTCCACTTTGAGCACAATTATTTCGATTTCTTCGAAAGATATCAAGAATTCGTCAACAGAAAAAATATGGGTGATATTAAGATAAATAATTTTTTTTGCTACCGTCCGTGGGAAGTGACATAAAAAGTTTTGCAGTCCGATGATGAACAAGATTTGATCGTGGGAACTAGATCTCACTCTGCCTGCAATCAAGAGTTGAACTATAATCAGCAAAAACCGAAATACGTTTTGTAAAAGTTTAGAAACCTTAAAGTTTCTAGGCAAGGCGAATTTGATATCAACAAACCCAGCAAAGTTTATTCCCACTTAAATTTGGGAAAAAATCCGATTTGCCTCTTGATTAAGGTTTTAGCATTATCCCAGTTCCATTTTTCTGGTACAAAAACTGGAGCTATATACAAGAAACACTAGTTAGCGAAGGTTTAACAACGACAACTACAGTAACCTAGAGTATTTTTATTTTCCGAATTTTTTTCTCGAAAAATTGAAAAAAACGGGCAAAAATCTACATAGTACATCCGAAAAATAGAAACATTTATAGGTTACGGTAGTTGTCGTTGTGGGACCTTCGGTCACCGGCGTTCCTCTCCACAGCTCCGATTTTTTGTACCAGTATAATAGCTCCGCGTATAAAAGACCCATAAAATATACTTTATGCTTAAGTTTATATTTTCCTGTTTATCAGAAATGGACCACCCTTTCTGAATATTCCTCAACCTATGTTTTCTCTTCCCCCTCTACTACCAAATAAAGCGGTCCTTTTTTGTGCTTCCTCAGTCCCAATTGTTTCCCGTTGGCTCTCTTTATGAAAGTTGTTCACTCCCCCATGATAGGTGTGTATGTTCCGGAGGTACAGCTTTTTTCCCGCTGTTTTCACAGAGGTTCTACTTTTTGCCTATTTAAGGTATTTGTTGATTATGAGTCATGACCTTAGAATTATATGTTCTATCAGGGTTGTTCAGAACCGACTTCAGAATTCTGAAAATTTCGACTGGAATATTTCCGAACTTGTTTTCGCAATTAGAGATGTTTGGACTACTGTTTGACACATTTGTGATAAGAAAATAGGAATCTTAATTTAAAACTTGAATGTTGATTCCGAATATTCCAGGATTCGGACATTTTCAGACTCGGAATTCACTAGCTTCGGAACAACCCTAATATTCTATGAATCAAAAGTTGAAAGATAATAGTTAGTTCATCAATACCTGTATAAACCGTAACTCTGTGATGAAGCATCACCTTGAGTCACACAGCTGCTTCAAACAACATAGCAAATTGTTTGGCTTTATTCGGTTTAGTGTAATACCTATTCATCATTTGATATCTGTTGATGTTATAGTTCTTGTTTTACTCTTAATATCAAAACTCTGAATTTTCGTATTTTTCTACGATTGTTATAATTTCATCCATCCAAATTCCAGAATGGAAGAAATCCTTCGTCAACTTTTCTCTTCAAACCATCCATTATCGAAGGAATCTTCGTTCCCACTGATTCCTTTACCACTTGATGGTTCCATCCTGAATCCATCTGAATGTCATCAACCGAAACCTCAGCATTCATACATCGGACTTATTGCAATGGCGATTCTATCTTCTCCCCAGAAGAAAATGGTTTTGGCAGAGGTAATTATTTTTAAAATTGAAAAAAACACAAATATGAATTTCAGGTTTACGAATGGATCATGACCGAGTATCCTTACTTCAGAAGTCGTGGTGCTGGATGGCGGAACTCTATTCGACACAACTTGTCATTGAATGATTGCTTTGTGAAAGCAGGAAGAGCAGCCAACGGAAAGGTGAGCAATGTAACAGTATTTTTGAGCTCAATTATTTCGATTCCTGTTAAAGATATCAGAAATTTGTCTACTGGTAAAATATTGGTGATGTTATGATAAACAATTTGCGATGTCGACAAATGTCGGATATCTTTCACAGGAATCGAAATAATTGAGCTCAAAGTTGACGGTTTGAGATGGCTTTTATTTAAGGAATTTTTTTCTGTAACGAGTCGTATTCACTTCGTTTTGTAACGATTTGTATTTCACTTTTTTTAAGAAAAAAGAACAACCACTACCATTACCGTAACCGAAAAAAGATGTTAATTTTCCGGATTTAATATCTCGATTTTCGAGAATTTTCAGTCGATTTCTGACCAAGACCATCGGCGCTCCGATGTTTTTGTACCAAAATAATAGCTCAAAAATAATTTTAAAATTTGGAATAAGATTAATTATTAGTCCAGATATTTCTTTTTCAGGGACACTACTGGGCCGTTCATCCTGCCTGCATTCGTGATTTCGAACGCGGAGATTTCAGAAGACGTCGAGCTCAACGGAAAGTTCGTCGTCATATGGGATTGCAGGTTGAAGAGGGCGATTCGTCAGACGAGGAAGAATCTGCGGGGTCTGATACATCACCGCCAATCTTCTCTCAGGCATTCTGGAATCTTGGTTGTGCACGCCGAACACCAATTAAGTCATTCACAATCGACGCCATTTTAGAGCATAACTGAAGAAGGATATTTCAAATTTATACAAAAACTATAAATCTTTGTTGTTTAATTAGTAGTATGCTCTCGACTCTTGATTGTTTCCTGTTACGCTCCCAAATCTGACGCATCCTTTCTATTCTCCCCCAATGTCACTAATTCCTACGGGCTGTCTTTCTCCAATTCCCCTCTTCCCCCAACAACTTCTTCGAGTTTCCTGTTGTGTTTAGTGCAAGCAATGCAATTGTGTTTATCTTCATAATCAACTCACAAAAATGAAACATGCTGGAAATAGACATTAAAGAAAAATGACGGAAAATTTCGCAACAAAATTTCGCGGTATACAAAAAAAGGGAGAAAACATCTTAGTTCGATTAGAGCAGAAGAGAGATAAGGCTTGTTAATTTTTTAAATCATTAACTAATTAAAGACTCTAGAATCAACGATGAAGGATGTTTTACAGGGGGTGCTTTTAAAAACTGGTCAGGGACTGTTTTTACAGCAGAAAAATACGTATTAAAAAAAGAGATAAGCATAATAATACAAGATTTCATTTATTCGCATCCACCTTCCTTCTTTTTCTGAGGTTGTGATGTGACAAGAATTGGAATGGTATCTGGTTCATTGTCTGAAGACGCGTCGCTGTCCGAATCACTGAAAAAGAAAAATTAAATGAGAAAGATACTATGAAAATAAGAATGTCAACGAACCTAGATGGAGCATAATCACATAGTGCCTGAAGGGCTCCAATCTTTTTGATAACGGGTTCTTGTTTCGGCAACTTTGTTGGTGGTACAACTTCTTCTTTCTTTTCTTCTGGACCAGCGCTTCTGAAATATTCAAAATCATTACAGATCTGATTTTCCAACATACGTTGATTTTCTTTTGATGGCAGTACTTAAGAAAGCCGCTTGTTTAGATTTAGGTTGAACAGCTCCCGCTGAAGAAGTCGATGGTTTCAAAATGAAACGAGGCGCAGCTGGCTGATTTGCAGCAAGATGTTGAGTGACAGTCATTTCTTTTATAACTTCTTGCTCTTCTCTTTTCATTTGCATTTTAACAACTCTTTTGGTGGTATCCAGATCTGACAAAAATGTGCTTTCATCTTCGTCAATACCACGAACCATATTTTCTGAAATTTTTATCAATATTTTTAGGATTAGATGTTGCACAAATCTTACTGAGTTTTTTTGCTTCATCGATTTCCAATTGCTTTGCATCTTTGTTGTCTTTTAGCTGTTCGAACAGCGTCTTGTTACAATATTCCGGTTCAGGAGCAACTAAATAAAGACAAAACAGTTATGAGTTTTTTTTTTAACTTACGAATTGTATCTGTTGGTTTGCGAGCTTTCTCCCAAGCTTCTTGCCGAGCTTTTTTTTCTTCGTCAAGTTCGGTTGTGCTCACAAATCCACTCGTCATTTTATACTCTGAAGAATTTGAAATTGAAAAGAAAAAATTTACATTATTGAACGACTTTCATGGTACTAAAAGAAATTTTTTACATATTGAGGATATATAATGCGATATTGGCGAATTGACGAATCGATTTGTACCCCTGATGTATTCGATAAGTAAAAATCAATTATGTGAACATAATCAAAAATGAAAAGAAAGGAAGTGTCCTATTGATTTTCAAAAAGATGTTTATTGAGACATTCTTATGGGAAAATCGAAGAAATAATAGCGTTCTTTTCTCCACGAGTAGTCCGCGAGCTTGTGGCCTAGAAGTTCAAAACGCGGCCGAGGATTTTTGCGATGGTTTTGAAAAAAACTCGAAATTGAAGAAATTACAGACACTATTTTCCTTCTGAATTTTCGCTATCCTATTGAAATCAAAATTCAAATATTTCAATTTGCAGACACGATGAGTGCTGCAGAAGTTGCAGACCACTACAACAATGTACGGCAGGCTGGCATTCAAGACAGGAAGGAAAGTCGAATTTTTTTCATGCGAAACATGAACAATTGGATAAAAAGTCAACTCATTAGTAAGCTCAAAAACTATTTTTTTCAGCTTGCTAATTTTAAATTTCAGATGACGCAATGAAACTTGTGAACGAAAATGGTGTAAAATCCCCTGTCGTTCTGGACATTGCCTGTGGGAAGGGTGGAGATCTACGGAAATGGGATATTACTGGAGCAAAACATGTCGTAATGGCTGGTGAGTTTATATAAAACTTTTGACATTCAAAGATCTAATTCTATTTTAGATGTCGCTGATGTATCTATTCAGCAAGCCGAAGAACGATACAAAACTATGCATAAATACCCACATGATATTTTTGGGGCTCAGTTCATAGTTGCAGATTGTACAAAGGTTTGTTCAGAGAACACAATTCAACAATTTTACGCAGAATCTTACAGGAGAATCTTGACGACAAGATAGAGATCAAGGAGCCATTCGATTTGGTTAGCTGCCAATTTGCTATGCATTATTCTTTCGTAGATGAAGATTCTGCGAGAACTTTCCTGAAGAACGCGGTCGGAAAACTGAAACTCGGCGGAGTTTTCATCGGAACGCTTCCAGACGCAGACAGAATTGTGTAAGTTTTCAAGTATATTAAAAATTAGGACACAGCATTATTAGAAATTTACCAGCCTGTTCGCCGCGCCTCCGGCGCTTCAAACAGCTGGAATTAACATTTTCTTTTACTGTTCGTCGCGTCGCGACTCACTTTTTTTTAAAGATCACGTCAATCTATATTTTATTTTTAAAGGTGGGGGGACAGGAGATTTTACGGGGGATTTTTGGGGACAGAGTATGCATTCTACCGTGACGGTGTACAACGCTTAATGTCACTCTGCGTACAGCTGTCGTCCTCGCCTTTATGTATGCAATCGGGCGACCGCTTTTTTTTGCCCGTGAAGCTCAGTCGGTAGCGGCGCCGTACCCTCAATCATTGCCCCAACAAGTTCAACTCCTCGAGGGGTATATTTAAACGAAATTTCGAGAACATTATTTTTTCATGTCCCCTCACCTTTAAGTTTTTCGAAATTCGCGGACAGATTGACCGACAGAGAGAAAGAGACGCAACTTCATTTATTTATTACCAGCAAGCTGGTGCGCCTTCGGCGCGATTCAATCTAATTTTTTCAAATGTTCGTCGCTTCGTTTCTCACTTTTTCTAAATAAAAGGGTCACGTAAATATAAATGTGTTTTTCAATTTTTTTTCAAAAGCACAGACGGACCCGAGGACGGACAGACGCCTCTAGCGTTTTATTAATAAGGAAGATAAGAATGATTCTCAATACTAGCTTTTTGATTTTCTGCTTCAAAGCTTCACTCTCAAAATCTATAATATTTTACAGGTGGGCAGTGCGCAACGGTACAGAAGGAAAATTTGCGAACGATGTATGCAAGATCACTTATGAAAAAGTAGATGAACTTTCTGAAGGGAATGTACCTTTATTCGGAGCAAAGTTCCATTTTTCGTTGGACGAGCAAGTAAACTGTCCGGAGTTTCTTGCTTACTTTTCTCTCGTAAAACAGTAAGTCATTATTTTCGACTTCACCCAACGTGCTTTCGATTTGATTCTAAAAACTGAAAGCATGGTTTCATTATCCTCGGTCCAACATTAAAATATAGACTTTGAATTTTTCAGTCTCCTAGAAGAACATGATATGGAACTACTCTTCGTTCACAATTTTGCTGAAGCAATCACCAACTGGTTAGTACCCGGAAGACGTCTTCTGGAAAGCATGAAAGGTCTCGAAACGTTCCCGAATCGAAATCTCAGTGGGAAAACCGACGAAGAATATTTGGAAGCCAAAGCGAAAATTGATTCGCTCGGAGATAATGTGCCAAAATTTGTCGGAACACTTTCCAAGTCAGAATGGGAAGCGATTTGCATGTATCTGGTTTTTGGATTCCGTAAAAAGAAGACCACGGAAAAAAATCTCGAGTCGGAAGCTCCAGAAATCAAGAAAGTGACACCAGTACCATTAAATGAGGACACTGATAAAACAGCTGAAAAGAACGAGGAACGAATCGAAGAAAAAGAAGAAAATCCATCCCATTGTTAAAACCTTTTTCATTTTCTTTCGATCTCATGTCTATTTATTTTTCACATTCAAAAAATTGTTGATTTTTTTTATTCGCAATGATTTTATTTAACATCGAAGTACAATAATTTTTCGACACAAAAAACATGGCTCAAAGACGTTGTTCGAAAACATAAACGCATTAGAGGGTGACAGGGTACTGTAATTGTGTGTCATAGTGACTCAGATTCCAGATTGACGAGTAGAAACATTGCTGTCCACGCAATGTAGCAAGTTTAGAAAATAATCTAGACATAGATTTATCGCTCATGATTTTCGGACTGTAGAAGCTGTATCTCGGTCCTTGGTCTCGTGATATGTGTCATGTTACACTGAGGTTCGCGCAACAACAAAAAGTTTGCGGGAGTGTTGAGTAAAAATGCAGTAAACTTTTTGTAACACATTTCGATGATTCCAGAATTCTCTCGTTTTACAAAACGGACGACAGTGACCGTTATCATTGTAGTAGTCGTTCTTACTTTTTCCATTTCGTTTCGAAATTTTTTTCTGATTTCTTATCATGCAGTACCGTAATTGAAAATCATTCTTGTTACCCTTTTTTTTCATCAAGTTGGTTCTTCTTCAGCTAATTCCTGATCTAAAGTTTCCGACTGCTTGTAGGAGAGTTTAAAGTTAGGAAAAAGAAATTGTTCGAATGGTCGAGACAGTTGAAAAACATCAAAAAAGTTACCGTAAACACTCTAATAGAAACCACCCAAACCGCCAACTTTGAGATTATATATCTCGTTTCTTGTGAAAGATATCGAAAAGTTGTCAACTGACAAAATGTTTACCATACTATCAACAACATTTTATCAGTTGACCACATTTTTATATCTTTCACAGGAACCGAGATATGTACGCTCGAAGTTGACGATTTGAGGGATCTTTTATTAGAGTGTTGACGCTATCTCTTGAAAATGTTTTATAAACTTTTTCAGCAGAAAAAATGTATATTTTTATGTTTTTCTGCAACGCTGTGAATCAAATGAAGAAAATCATTTTCTACTTTATTCATTTCCTCAAAAAATGGTGTTTTATTACAGTTATGACGAATATTCAAATCATATCCCATTGAGTAAATATATGAGATTTGAACGACCCAGTTTTTCCAGAAAATGTTATTTTTTGATAATGGGGATCTTTTCTTTTGGCTCTTCTTCATTTCCGTTCTCGTTCATTTTCCTTCTTTCTCTCGACTAAATCCGACAATTCCCTTCTTTAGCTTCTGCACCATTCTCTCTTTCTTCTTCTCTCTTTTAGAAGATGTCGACATTCGAAGAGCCGTTCAGATTTATTGTTTCTTACGACTCTTTCTGCGTTTTTTTTCTTTGAGATCTTCCCACTTGAGTACCTTTTTAGTTCAACTGGAAGACTTCTAATATGTAGATTGTTTTCCATTCAACTCGGAAGTCAAATAATAAACTGCTCCAAGAACTGTTTCAGATCTTGTTGTCAATAACCAAAGCAAGAACTGGAAACTTATACAGGGTGGCTGAAAAGTATTGAGACTTTGTTTAGACTCAATTTCTTGAAAACAGAAAACCTGATGACTATGACTGCTAGTTTTTGCGAATAATGATTATTTTTCTAGTTTACATTTAGAAGGAAAACCTTGAATACCTTAGTTTTACCTAGTTAGAACATCAAATGTGATGTAGAAATATGAGCGACTCGCCGCACCTTGTTTTTAGTACTTCATGATGTAACCGCAGATTGAACAAAGGTTGAAAGTTCATGCTTTCAATATAGTTGGAAGAACTCTTCTAGATAATGCTCCTAAAATTTTAGATACCTCGATAACCTCTATTTATAGATATGAGTGATATCATGCAACCGACCAAATGACTCAAAAATGGCTCAAATTTTCAATGTTCCAGTTCAAACAGATAGAGTCAACAAAATGTTTTGAAACTTCTCAAATTATCATTTGTGCACATTTGAACAATTTGACAGTGAAAATCTTTCAAGCGATCCGGGTTTTTATCAAGATATGCCCTTTCGAAAAAAGCTCATTTAGTACTGCGCGGCGAGGCAAAAGTTGAGTTTGCGGTAATGCTCCTGCGGCCTACAAAATGACTTCAAATTGAAAATGAAAGTGTTTGAGACAACAATCGAGAGATGCACTATACATTCCATGTCTTTAAAGCTAAATTGGACTTGACCTTTTGACACAGTAAATGGTCAAAGATGACCAATTTTGTACTGAAAAAGTAGTCAAATTCAATCAAACTGGAATTGTGATCTTGTTACCAAAAGTAGATACATTCTAGTCATCAAAAAATCTTTAGAAGTCTTCCAGTTATCCAAAAACATCAATATTTCTAGAAGGAACCGGCTCGTGCCATTCCAGTGACTCCTTGAAAGTAGTCTCAATACTTTTCAGCCACCCTGTATATTGATCTAGGAATAGGTTTTATCCTTAACCTTCGCAGCGCGATGAAGAAAGGCTCACTTTTTCCCATGAGTTTTCTTGTGTACAAACGATTCAGCATACTAAAAGCTAGGTATGGAGATTTCTTCCTATTATAGTTATTTTCGAAAAGTGATGAACTAAAAGTGATGAACTGTATATGTTCCGAAGCGAAGTTACCGTATTTCCTCTAAGAGAAGACCACCCAAACGGTCAACTCCCAGTTAAATTGTGAAAAATATCGAAAACTGATCAATAGATGCCGAAAATATTATGAAAAACATTGAAAAACATACATTTTTGATATCTTTCACAGGAATTGAGATAATTGATCTCAAATTTGACGGCTTGGGTGGGCTTTAATGAAAAGAAATATGATACTCGTTCAGTGAAGTTTTTACAAAAATAGTCGTGAATTAAAGTAATGTTGATAGGCACACCTGACGATTTTCAGAATAATTTGAGCTAATTAAAAAATTATTGTACATTGTCAAAATTTGTTATGTTTTACTACGAACTCGTAATGCTTTTGTACTGTTGCTAACAAGCAGGCTGTCATTCATGTTTTTGTTATTTTTTCTAATAAGTTGGCCATCCTTTGGAAGCTTGAGGGAAATATTGGGATGTTCACATAAGGTATAGCATACATCATTAGAGAATGAAACTCCACATAAAGCTTCTCGGCTGTCGGCTCGTAACTTTTGGTAAGACGTTGAGTTGGTTGGACGGATATTGGTCAGGTTCTGGTTGGAACTTGCCCAAAAACGGCTGTATAGCAGACCATGACCAGACTTTGGTCACAAGTTGAATGTTGAATCAACTACCAGATATGAATCGTGTTGTAAATTTGTAGGAGTTTTGTCGGTTTTCGTAGCGGTCTTATCCGGAATCTGACCAACCTCCGAACAGAAGTTGCCAGCGACGCCCGAGTTGCTATATCACAAAGTTTTTAGCTTTTGGAAGCGAAAATTTCCCTAAAACTTTCCATTAGGTATCATTTGCTAAGGAACGGTGAAATTTGTAAATACACGGTTTTTCTAATTTCATTCATCATTCCCCGTTTTCATGTCCGTCGGTTTCTCACATTTCCGACAATAAGTCTTCGTCACAAAATGCAAATAAATCCTTTCTTCTATCCACCGCAACATGTTCCTCGTTTTCTTCCTATTTTTTTTGGTGAACCCGCAAAAGGCAAAAAAGGAATAACCTTCAGAAGATTGATGCCATAGGGAGCTTGTCGACAATCCATTCCTTATGTGTTTTTCCGATGAACGGGCATTCATAAGAGGACCGGCTGAGAGTGTGTCCGTGTTCTTTGACAATTAGTCATTCGAGGTTTCTTTGAAGACGAGTTGAGATTCCCATGATGCAATGAATAGAGCCAGAGGATGAGAATAACTATGATAAGAATGCACAGTTTTTGGAGCATGAGAATCTTGTTAACTTGACGAATGGTTCTTTTTTTTGTTTACATAAGATAGGCGACAAATGGTTTTGAAAACGAATTGACGAATTTCTTTGGAATGGGAGGAGCGACGAGTACTGTAGGGAGACGAAGAAATACAAAATGTACTGTACGACATTTTCGAAACTTTGTTAGAACCCTTCAATTTCAATATTCTTGTTTCTTAAGAGTATTGAAATTTGCTTCTGACATTATGATACACAATCAGTTGACACGTTTTTGATATCTTTCACAGGAACCGAGATAAGTTGGTTTAAAGTCAAAAGTTCAGGGTGACGTTCTATTAGATATTGTTTACGGTATCTTAAAACGAGCTGCACCAGAATTTCATGAACTTTCAGAGGGAGAATGTTAAACAAAAAAAAACATAAATTATCTGGCGGTTTTGAAAGTGACGAGGTTTAAAACGTAGTTTTTAAAAGTTGGCGATTTTTGTAAAATACGAAATTCTCGAATTCCTTCCGAACCACATCCATTTGAGAATCGAAACGCATTCTTCGTTTCCCTCGTTTTCATATAAGTTCCCCCATCATCTTCCGCCCCTACAGTAATTCCATCTTCTCAGTTTTTATTTTCCAATTTCCTCGCGGAATGTCATTGTTTCAGTAGGAGGTGACAAGCCCGAAATGGGATCCTAACACTGACACAAAATCAAGGACAAACAAAAAAAGGACTCTTAGTTGGAGTAGTTGAGAAAAGGAAAGGCAAGTTCGAGATGACAGACAAGTTATGAGATACTGTTTTAATGGGAAATGTAAAACTACGTGACACTTTCGTTTTTTTAGCTTATTAAAGACCTTGAGTCCAGCTGAATCTAGGAAGATGGTTGACTTAGAAAATTCACCTGCTCAGATCATAACAACTGTTGAAAATTTTTTCTCGGACAATGCGGGGAATAGTTGAATTTTCATACTTTATTGTAGAAGTGATCTTCCAACGGACCTAAAGTTTTAGAAATTTGATTAGGTTCTTGAAAACTGTAAATAGTATGGTCGACCAGGAATCCTAAATTAATGGGTGAACAAGCTGGGAATACCATTAAAACACCGGAATCGAGCTTAAAAATCATTCGTAATTTTTTTGATTGAACAATTCTTTATAGAAAAATGAATAATTGAGTATATTATTAATTTTTTCTTAACAGTTGTGTCATGAAGTTCTTACCGTACTTCCTCTAATAAAAGCCTACCCAAACAATCAACTTTAAGCTCAATTATCCTGAATTCTGTGAGAGATATCAAAAATTTGTCAACTGATAAACTTTTTGATATATTCAGGCCAATAATTTATTAGCTGATATCTTTTTGATATTTCTCACAGGAATCGAAATAATTGAGCATATAGTTAACTGTCTGGATGAGCTTCTATTAGAGGGAATACGATATCTTGTTTTTTAATAATTACGTGATTGGGGCATAGCTTCTAATTAGCGGGTTTTATTGTAATTATTGAATTCGAAATTTTATAATTCAAACCACTGTGACAGTGTTCTGAGAAATCCAATATTACCTCATGTTTGAGTGCACAAAAAGTTTCGAAATTTTCAAATAGACTACTTTTGCTAACTTTTTTCTGGTTTCTCTGAAAAATTGAAACAAGAAACGAGACCAATGTTGCTTCCTTCTGAAAGCGCTCCCTCGTTTTTGCATCTCCTCTTCCTTTGTAATTTCCTCTCAAGCTCACTCCTCTCCAGGCTACCCCTCCGCTCGGACTCCGCCCATCCACCATCCAGCCAGCTTCCCCTGGTGCCTCTTTACACCGTAATCCAACATCGCCGTCGTTCTTCTTTCCTTCTTCTCCTCCGCCTTTCCCCACATGCATTCTTCTTCGTCCATCATCACCACCCTGGAAGAAGAAGAGAAGAAGCCTCCTGCTCATCTTCATCAATATCATCATCATCTTCATCAACAGTCAGTAGAAGACGTCGGAAGTGCCACCTCATCAGCCACGCTGCTTCTTCTGGATACTTCCGCTGCCACGTGGATGATGCCGTCCTCGACGACGCACCCTCAAATCTCCGAGATAAGCGGAAATGAATGCGCTGCATGTGCACAGCCTATTCTTGACAGGTATCCGTCAATTTATGATTATTTTCCCGTTTAGTCTCATTTCCATCTCTAGCTCTAACACCACCTCTCGCCCTAATTGAATTTTTCCATTTCCCATTTCCTCTCCTCTCCCTCCGACCAGTCATTTCATTTTCAGTCCACACATTTCACTTGATTCTACTTTCAGATATGTATTCACCGTTCTTGGCAAATGTTGGCATCAATCATGTCTCCGATGTTGCGATTGTCGAGCTCCAATGTCGATGACTTGTTTCAGTAAAGATGGCCTGATATTGTGTAAAACAGACTATTCAAGGTATTCAATTTCATCGATAAGGTCATAGATTGAGAGTTCTTCGCATAAATTTAAAATCAAAATCCAAACTTCTCGAATTTCCCCCCATAACCAGAGTAGAGGTTCAGATCCACCCCACTTTTCATTTCTGGGAGTTGGTATGTTTTTGTTGTGTCTCCTAGATTTTTTCTCAGGATTCTACCATCTTTCCCACGCTGTAGGCCTGGTTGTTTTGATACGTATTTTGTCGCATTCTCCATAGAAAATAATTTTCAGAAGGTACGGTCATCGATGCGCTGGATGTGATGGAAAACTGGAAAAAGAGGATTTAGTAAGGAGAGCAAGAGACAAAGTATTTCATATTCGATGTTTTCAATGTTCAGTATGTCAAAGGCTCTTGGATACGGGTGATCAGGTGAGAATCTCTATAATCAGACACTGAAAATGACCCATTCCCACGTCCTAAAAATATCCGGGGCCTTGACGACTCATGTCAAATCAGGAAACTCGGAAACCTAGAAATCACACACCTCTTTCTCTTTCTCTTTCTCACTCTCTGTTTCTTTTTCTGAATATGTCTCCAGAATACCCGTCAGTTGCACCTGCTCTCACCGATCTCACCACAGCTTCACGCCTACTTGTCATTCAAAATGTTGTGCTCTTCAACACTAACACCCGATAGCTGTCATTTTCTAAATTCAGACGAGCATACTTGTAAAATTCCGGGCCGGGCCGGGCCGGGCCTGAGGTAATTTTCAAGGCCCGGGCCCGGCCCGGAAGGCCCGGTGTCAAAAATTCTGTATTTTTGAGCCAAATTTTGAGCTCTCAATATAATTTTTTCCATTTTTTTTTTTCGTATTTCGGATTGTTTGTCTGTCTGATCAAAAAAGATCGAAAAAACCCGAAAAAAATTTTTTTGGTCGAAAAAAATCATATAAGGGTCCCCCCTTATGTGTTTTTGAAAATTTCGAAACTAGTGAAATGACGGGCCCGCCGGGCCGCGCCGGGCCTCAGAAATTCCGGAAAAAGCCCGGCCCGGCCCGTTATAACACAGCAGCACTTTATCAGCTGACAAAACTTTGATATCATTAACAGAAGTCAAGACAATTGAGCTCAAAGTTGGCGTATTGTGTGGGTTTCTATTAGCAAACAAGGTATAGAACGGCATGTTTGTTACGACAAACTCTGTTCCGTTCAAATCCAAAACTAGTGGAAAACTTTAACTGAAGAATCATTTTGGGAATTATAAAACAAATTCTTGATTCAGCTTCAAAGTTAGACATGTGATTTCACAACTCCCCTTACTTTATTTCCAGCCGATCCTAACCATATCAACCAAAGTTTTATTATTCAACTGTCTGTCTAATCTATGATCATAATCGTTATCTAACAATAAGCTTTACATCCACTTCTATTGGTAGATGTTATCTCAAAACCCTTTCTGAGCATTTATCGGTTCTCCCTTTTTCCCCCTGCTTAAACCTGCTTCTTCTCATCACCCAGAAGCTCCTGTCTATTCCTTCAATTCCCTTAGGATGTGTCCTGTTGTCACAATCATCATCTTAGAAGAGGACCCTTCTCTCTGTAACCTATTATACTTTATAATTGGTTTACACGGGGGATCTGACTCCAACTGGCTCTCCTCATCTAACTGAAAACATCTTTTTTGGCTTGGGGGTGAAAAAATGAGAGGGAAACGAATGTTTTTTTTCAGCTTTATATCATGGAGGGAAATCGATTATGTGTCAAAATGATTTTCAAACGGCTACCAAAACATCGACTCCAACATCAATGCACCGTCCAAGTAAGGATTTTGATTTTTTTTTTTGCTCTGAAATAAGTAAGATTCTTTGATCACAAATGTCTTAGAATCTGGGTCATAAATAGATGGCAGACGTCCTAATCCATGCGTTCCATTCGGAAGAACATATTTAAGATGAGCCCCCTGAATGGAGACATGTGTTGTTTGGATAGTTTTACGATGATAGGTATCTTGTGAAAGGAGACAGACAGCTGTCAACACACAACATTTCTTTGTATTCGAATTACCGCACAGTAGAAACGGAAGGAGAAGGGGGGATAATCTCGTTGCGGGCACCACACTGGTATTAGAAGAAAAATGGAGGAATAGAGGGAAGAAGACCTCATCCATGATGTTCTTTTTGTTACAGTATCCAATGGATCCGAATGTAATTCCGATATCGAGGAAGATAACGTGGATGCTTGTGACGAGGTGAGTTTTCTCGTTTTATGTGACTGTGTAATTGGAAGTAGAGGAGACACACAGGGTTCCAAAAGACCTGGTCAGAAATCGCGCCCCAGCGAAAATGAGATTGGGGCTTCTTTTTTTATTTTCGTTGGCTGATTGTGAGTATCAAACGTAAAACGATGAGTGGAAAAGCGCGAGTAGATTAAAAATATACAGGTCAAATCCACGTCGACTTCGAAATTGTTGAATTTCGCCTGTCCTAAACGTTGTCTGGGGCGCGACTTCTGACCAGGCCTTTTGGAACCCTGCGGAGATGGATTCAACAATAAAATTCTGTTGATATTGAGTAGATTAATATACACAGGTTGAGTCACTTTTTCGAATTCTAAACCGGACCTTTATGGTTGGCGAATTTTAAGCGTTGCTTTTCCCTTTATAATCATCTCGTATGCCTTGCCACAAAAATGATATTCAAACCACCAATGCTTCAGATGTTTCAGGGTGGTCTTGACGACGTTGATGGTGACTGTGGAAAGGATAACTCTGATGACTCAAACTCTGCAAAACGGCGGGGTCCTCGAACAACAATCAAAGCTAAACAGGCACTACTATTTCTTTTGTATTTCAATCCCTGGAATATTGAAATTTCAGCTTGAAACATTGAAAAATGCATTCGCTGCGACCCCGAAACCAACTCGACACATCCGTGAACAACTTGCTGCCGAGACAGGGCTGAACATGAGAGTCATTCAGGTTTCGTGTCTATTTTTTCTAGCCTTTTTCCTTCAATTCTCTTTTTGCCTCTGCCTACGTCTATTTGGAGTCAGTTATCTCTAACCATTTCTCATTTTCCTTACTTTAATTCACCTGCCCCGCCCTTCCCGTTTTTTTTTCTCGAGAGAGAGACAGCCATCTCTTCAATTCAATTACCGTAGCCTTAGAAGGGAAGCAGGAAAAGAAAAACATAGAGAAACACAGAGAAAAAAGCTACGGTATCTGTTCAAAGACAGTTTCTGAATATAAAAAATGTTATGATGAATACACAACTCAGTTGATCATGATTATTGGATAACAGATAACAGGAAGAATGAGCGGAAATTTGAAAGGAAATTAGCTTTATCGTGTGTGAGAAGACCTTCGTTAGAAAATTGAAAACGGGATGGGTGAGCAAAAGGGAAAAGAGAAGGGGAGCAGTTTCAATTCAAATCGAGATACCATCTGAACCTCAAACGAAGTGTGCATGCATTCTGTTCTGTTTTAGGTTATTCACTTTCTCATGTACTCTCAAACCTGAAATTCTTTGGAACTACCTTAAAACCTGTAATAGAAGAGCCCCCACTCTGTAAAGTTTGAGCTTATCTCAATTCATATGCAAGATATCAAAAACATATCAACTGACGAAGCACTTCTGATGTTATTAGGAACACTTTATTAAATGACTTTAAAATACTTTTACAGTAACCAAGATAAATTGGCTCAAAGTTGAAAGTCAGTGGCCCCCTTCTATAACAGGTTTTACGGTATGAATCATTGAGTTTTCTCAAGTAATATTTTGAATGGTTTCTGGTCAATCGTACAGGGTTCAAAAATTTGCAGTAACTCTAGTTCCCTTTATTTAGTTTCTTTTCTGTATTTCAAAACTTTTCAAAATCAACATTTTTTTCAGGTGTGGTTCCAAAATCGACGAAGCAAGGAACGTCGAATGAAACAGCTTCGATACGGTGGATATCGTCAATCCAGAAGACAACGTCGAGAGGATATCGTTGATATGTTTCCGAATGGTAAGCTAGCTTGTGTCTCTCATCTCGTTAATCCATTCCCCGTTACGCAACTCCAATTATCACATAACGTACGGTTGGAGCAGGTGTTTCTCCCCAAGGCAAAAAGTCGATTTGACTGTACAATACGTACTAGGTTAAGCTGGATTATAAGCTGCTTCAGACACAACGACTATGAGAGGTCTCCTCCACGAATGATGACCTCTTAAGTACCCATAATATTTTGGTCACGCTGTGTTACGTGTTCATCCGAAAAGGGTCCCGTAAGAGGGGCAAAAATGATGATTAAAATGGGTGAAGAGGGTACTAGTGGGGTTGGCTTGTGCGTAGTGTTTGTAAGATATTCATTCGACTTTTATCAAAACCTTTGTGCAGTTTTCTATAGAGCGTTCACTGATAGAAGAACCATTTTTAAGCTTTCGAGTTGTTTTCAAGTTTCAAAAAATATACTGATTTCAAGAAATGCATTCACAGAATTTTCAAAAATTTCCTAGTTTTTCAGCTATTTGCTGATTTAGAAAAGACATCCCTTTTTGGCCCGTTTTTAAACTGAAAATGTGAAGTGATCAGTATTTCGACAGCCGAGCTCCAAACTTCTTGAAATGGTCAAAATGACCGAAAACCAACATAAAAATCCTTTATGTATATTTATTTTCATCAAAATTGAGTCAAACCCCAATATATATTTGAAAATTGTTCCGTAAATATGTGAACCTCCGAAACTTTTATATTGGAACAGAGGAACAAAGCTAAGTCATCACACCCATTCTTTGAATTTCCGTGTTACAGACCAACAGTTCTACCCTCCACCACCTCCATCAAACGTTCAATTCTTCTGTGACCCATATGGAAGTCCTCCAAATAACGGAGAGTCGATGCAAATTCCATCACAATTCACAGTACCTCCGGAGACTATGAATATGGTGCCAGGTAATAATAGAGACACATTTTCAACTTAAGCCTACGTCTTTAACAGAGCATAGGAAATGCATATTAGCAGCAATTTCTAGTCGATTTCTCCATTTTTTAAAATCAATGAAAACATTTTCCGGAAACGGTACCAAACACTATATATTTTCAGAACCATATGCCGAATCATCGTCAACACCACCAGAGTTCAATGAAGATGCATTCACATGCATTTATTCCACTGATGTCGGAAAACCAACTCCAGTTTCATGGTAGATATCATCGATCAAAAAATCTTGTCAAACAAAAAACAGTATTCCATTTCGTGTAGCTTGTTCCCCTTCTTTGCCAAATTATACTTCTCACCAATTCTTCCCAAACTCTCACTTATATGAATCCAAAACAACGAATTTCATCGCCTTCTCAATTTCTGATTTATTGTCAAAATTTTGTGATATTTCTTTTTTCTATGTTTTTCTTATCAGGATTAAAATAAATTAATCATGTTTATTTGCAATTAATAACTTTCCGAATTCAAAAAACTGCGATAAAAAAGGAAATAACTATTACATAAAATATAAAAAATAAGTTAGTGCAAAGAAAGAAGTTTCGACCCGTTGAGGCGATTGTCCTGTTTCATTTCTTCTAACTGAGAAGTCGTGCCAATGTCTTGAATTTCTGTTCAAGAGCTTCTACACGAGCCTCCAAACGCATCTGATTTGCCTTCATTTCACGGTTATCCTTTCGTAGTTGAGAGTTTTTCTGATGAAGTTGATCGATCTCCCAGCGAAGGTCTTCTTTTGCCTGAATCTCAACTTGATCATGTTTTGTATCTATATTCTCACCTTATGAGACTCCTTCTCTAGCTTTGCCACTTGAGCATCAACGACGAAACTTTCAAGACGGATGATTCGTTGAGCCGCTTTCAGTCGAAGGTTCTCTCCCATTCTGAAACATTAAATACATGTTTTCTTCATTTTTCCACTATCTATTTTCTTCTCTCTTTCAAATTGACCGACCGGAAAAGCCAGAAGGTGCTCACGAGAGCCCAGAAAAAAAGAAAGATGAGCTGTTTGATGACGAGACTGTGTGTGAGACAGAGAGAATAAGACAAATGCAAATGAGTAAAAGCGAAGAAGACGGACGGCGCTAGCCGACATTCATCCCGTACCCTTTTTTGTTTGAAATATAAGGGAGGTACTTCCAAAAGAAGAAAATCGGATTAAAAAAAATCATACCTTTCTTCCATTACACGCTCCAAATTTCCTCGGTAATGAGCAGCAGCCTTCTTTGCTAATTTTGCGACTGGCTCCCAATGAACATCTTCTTCATAAGATCCATGTAACATCGCCTCAACTCTATCCAATAACAGAAATGTTTTATCGAGAATCACTCCATATGGGAAACAACAAACTCCTTCGTCAATAACAGCTCTCATAATATCAACTGGGTTCAAAACATGAACTTGGATATTGGTAAGAACACTTGTTGCATAGTGCAACCCAGGTTCACTGACCACTTTTCTTTGAAGAGCCATTAGAAGTTTGTCAGATCTGAAAAATTTCAGATCATTGGATACTTTTTGTGTCAATGCAAACCTTTCCAGAAGTTTGTAGTATCCAGAGTTCAGCAACTGTCCAGCAATTTCGTCCCAATGGGGATGTACCTCGCGTAGACGTCCAAGATGTTCATAGTTGAAACAGTTGGTGAGAACAGCTTGGAGAGCAATTACTGGGATGTTTGGCTTCGATGGATGCGAAACAAGAGTTTTCTGAAACAATACATATCAAATTTTCTAAAATTTATTTTGAGGCATGAATTACTTTTCCCAAAATATTCATAAGTTTAGTTAAAATATACTTGCAAACAGTTTTCAAATAGCCAAGAATAGTTTCTAATTTAGGAGATATAATGGTCATAGTAGTTCTGAGAAACAAAAATAAAAGAGCGAATGGAAAAAGAACATTAAGATTTGTACAAGCTTAAGACATTTGGTTGGATAAACATTATTGCTTTTCGGACCAACAACCAGTGGTCATAAAGTGTCACCAAGTCAGCTGTGGCTCTTCGAAAATGTGGAAACACAAACTTTAATTCAAACACAGAGATTTCAGAATTACTAGAAAAAAATTTTTTTTGGATAGTGAATGGAATACGAAAAAAATTATCTAAAATATTCTAAGGATAAAAATAAACACTACCATATTTCCTCTAATAGAAGCACACCCAAACCGTCAACTTTGATCTTAATTATCTCGATTCCTGTGAAGGATATAAACAATTTATCAGCTGATAACATGTTGGTGACATCATGATAAATCATTTATCAATTGACAAATGTTTGATATCTTCCACAGGAATCGAGATAATTGAGTTCAAACTCGACAGTTTGGGCGGGTTTCTACTGGAGGAAAAACGGTATTTCTTTCTTTCCAATAAGATCTGCTTTCCAACTGTTAAAAACTGCTATTCAAATTGTATTTGTCAATGATGTATTTGGAAATTTACTACAAAAAACTAACCGGAGTACTCGGAGGAGTAGCCGAGTTTCTTGTAATTGTCGGTCGATTAGCCGCAATAGCCGACGAAATCGATTGTTTTTGTTTAGATCCATCTTCGAAAATTGGGTCAAGTCTTCTATCGGGAGTCATACTGCTACGACTGATAGAACGGCCGATGGCACGCGAGGAAGCACTGCCATTGAGTGGTCGTTGCTGCAAAAAGATGCAAACGATGTAGAGAAAAAATAGTACGAGGCAGAATGCTAATAATTGCACACTTGTTAAAATAACAAACCTCTCCATTCACCATGAATTTTTGTTCCATCATCTTCTCTGTTAATTTCTTTCTCAGTTCGGAAGCACTTCCATCTGAGCTATCGTTCGATGGTCCGGCTTCTTCTTTCTCTGTTTTTCCATTCACAACTGTTTTCATGGAATCGGAAGATGATACTTTTGCGAATTCAGCTTTAGGAATATCATTCAATGGAGATATCTCTCGTTCTGTACTAGATTCCATCTTCTCAACAGGTTTCTTCTTGACGAGACGAACCTGGAAACTTGTCATCTAAATCAGAGATATTCCATTTGGAAATCACAATTTCTCACCTTCTTCTCTCCATCTTCCATATTCCCATTTGAGTGGCCATTTGTAGTGACTGTTCCATTCGAAACTGTGGTTTCTAGTGGTGTCACATTCCCATTTACACTTCCATTTACACTTCCGTCCACGGGCGTTCTCTTTTTTATTACTTTTCGGATAACCTTCACTTTTTTTGGTGCCGGAATAGCAAATACTTTGGTAACCGGAACAATCCATAGTGAATAATTTGTTGCATCCGACACTGAAGCTGTTGGAGAACTGACCATAGACGATTGTTCAGTGGAATCTGGAGTGTCCTCACGTCTTGCTGAACTAACCATTCCATGGGATGATGATAGAATATGATAGGATGCTTGGCCCTGAATATAGATATAAATGAAAAGTTAGATGTGGAGAAGAAAAAATATGATTCTGTAGAATGCGTCTAATTAAAAACTGTATGAAATAATACTCTTGGAACATGAAGTATCGCTGAACCTGTTTGCAGCTTTTTACTTTTTGGCTGAAAATAATTTTGATAATCTACACAGGTAGAAGGGTATCGCCAAAAAACTGACAAATTACAGCTGTAGAAACTGGCATATGACAGCTAGTTGGCAGCTCAAAGAGAACCGACGGGCCGTCGACGGACTATCGGCGGACAATAGGACACCCTTGGAAAAGAGTCTTGAAAGTTAGGTTTGGGAATCAGTCAGAAAACGATATTTACTTACTAGATTACAGATTGAAAAACTATTATATCTCACACAGGAGCCCATCAAAAAAAGGTTATTAATCGACCGCTAAACGATCATCAAAATGCGCTGACTGGTAAATGACCGTTGGTTGGCAAACCGAATTTTCGCAAAATGGAAAATTTGGGCAAAAAATTACTTCCAAAGTTATCACAGTATAAAAGCTTATGTAGGAGGTTTGAAAAAACAAAAAAAAAGAAATTTTCTGAACCTTCGAAATCCTCCACTGCGAAACAGCTATTCGAATTACATATATGGTCAAAATTCTATGACAAAAAAATAGAAAAACAATTTTTCAATCTAATCCGAAACGTCCGACTTATCGGGAATATTGAATTTACACTGAATCAAACAAATCTAATGCACAGATAAGAAAGCAGCTTACCGATTCAAGCTCAGTGATAAAAAACGCCCATTTGTTGGGATATACTCGTGTAAAGAGTTTTGTTAGAGGAGTCTTCCAATCTCTTCCAGCACCCAAAATCAATTCCATGCAGCATCCTGGTTCCCCATCTGTGAAGACCGCACTTTTCTGAAATAAAAATTCTTGGACAACGTTTCAAAATACTTCAAGAATTCTAGGTTTCTCACCCTGTTGTATAGTTTTTTGATTGTGAATAAAATAATAATTTCGGATCGTAAAGGAAATTTGATCTGATTGAATTTTCTAATAACACATGATATCCATCGAGATACAACAAAAATATCAATTTTCATAGAGCATTTGAAGAAATCTCTGTCTATTCATTTTTATCCGTTATCTTTTCTATTTGTTAGCCGTTCTCCCTAGTCCACTAAAGAAAGTGAAAAGGTAGAAAAGAAGAAGAGCTCCAGGATGATTTGTTTGACATTTCGTTCAGTCGGGCATCTCTTGAGACACATTGAAAGTACTCAAATTTGCGAGACGCAGAATGAACAAGTTTAAGTGGCACAAGAAATAATATGAAATAAGATGAACTAACTGGTCCAAGATTTATCCGATGCAGTTTTGCTCCGTCGAATTCTTCGAGGCATGACGTATCGGGAACGAATGTGACCTGAAAATAAGAAATTAAAGATATCATAAGATCATTATCATCATGATAAAAGAAGGTTTGGGAAAAAAAGAAATTTGATATTCCTGTGAGAGAAAAGAGATAAGAGTTGTACGATTTCCAAAGATTCGAAGAAAAAATTGTGAGAGAGAAAACAGGAAAGAGTACACAAGAACTTTCGAAGAGCAGGTGGCTCGACCAAAGAACGTGATAAGGGAAGTAGAAGTTTGGAAGGTACGTCGATGAAAAATGAATTTAAATCTTTACCTGTCTTCCCATATGTGCAAATGTCATTCTAAATGGAGCCTGCGCCAAAACAACCCCTGCACCCATACTGCATTCGACACCATCAAAATCTTCACTGAGAGCATCTTGAACTTCTGGAAACTATCTAGATTATTCGTGTACATTTAATGATGATTTCTTCTATAATAACTTAAATGTGGTGTTTGATCGGGGATCTTCTTCCGTCATTTATTAGCCATCTCCCCCTCCCACCCATCGACCACCCCCACTTTTGAGACACACCAGCTGACAGCGGAAAAAAAAACTTTAATTTTAGAAGAAGTTCGGTGTTGCGAAATGTATTATCCTTCATTTATTTTCTACTTTTCATAACTCTTCGTCAGAATGGTTCATCATAAAGCTCGCGAGTGATGAAAAAATGGAAAAAAGAAGTGTAAAGTAGGAGAAAACCGGGTGTTGTGGCGATGGGAAAGGATTACGATGTGAAGATGAACATTAATAAAGATATCTAGATGTGATACTTGAAATTTTTGCCTGAAAACTGTAAAAACTCTAATAGAAGTCCATCCCCAACCACCCAATTTGATTCTAAGTTATCTCCATTCCTGAGGCAGATGTTTTTAACTGGTAAATTACTTATAACATGATTATTTTACCAGTTGGCAAACTTTTGATATCTCTGACAGGAATCGACATGATTAAGCTCAAAGTTTACGGTTTGGGAGGACTTCTATTAGAGGAAGTACGGTGAGCATTTATCTAGAACTACTAGTGACAATTAGTGGTCTAGTTGGTTTTTGTTTAAATTATTTTTTTTAAGCCAAACTTTATTTCTGATCTAATAATTGAATAGAATTCCTGTAACTTTTTCTACTATACAGGAGCTTATATTAAGTATTTCAGATAGAATATAGCACGAACAGCTGATTGTTTTCAAGAAAACTTTGAGAAAAAAAATGTAACCCACCTGGTAGAAGTGGTAGAAGATCGTTAGTAGCGTTAAGTACATCCATAATAACAGTTCTCTAAAGCGCACTGGTTTTTGCCAATGTGTATCGAATAGGAAGAGAAAAAGAAGAAAACAGAGCTTCCTATGCGGTGCTCCGAGCAGCTTTCGGGTTCTGCGGGAGATGCCTATTCCCGCGGTGAGAGAGAGCTACCGAGTGGGAGGGAGTCAGGATCAGGCGGCTGGTGTTGGAGTGAAGGATCATTTTAGACAGAGACCATCATACAATATTTCTCTTCTCTTATCCTTCCCGGCCGGGTTACCCAAAGACTGTGTAATAAATGTGTGTAGAGGGACAGAGAGGGACGTAAAGAAGAAGCAGATGCACACTGATATCCATTTTCTTATGCTCTGACTTTCTTCTTTTTCTCCCGATCGCCACCACGGCCCGCTTGAATCTCGTTCCAATATCATGCACGTGCCCAAAAACTTCGATGAATTGAAATGAATGAAACAAGACTTAATGAAACTAGGTACAGAACAGAACGGACCAACAGAAAGTCATAGCTGAAATCAATTTGAGTACCTGAAAAAATACTTGATTCTCAGCTCCTAGACCTTTTCAGATACTCCGGTTTATCGCTCTTGAAAAATCAATTTCTGACCCCAAACTCAAAATGTTTTCGTTGTCGTCACAATTTTGGCTTCATCATCTTTTTCAGTCGATTTTCGGTCATTTTGACCAATTCCACAAGTCTAGAGCTTGGCTGTCAGTTTTCCGATGACTTGGAAAATTTTGGAGGTTATAAAACAGAACGAGATTAAAAATGTTGCATTCACAGAATTGTTGAGAATTCAAAACCTCGGAAACTCTGAAACTAGAAATTCAAGTGTAAGATACAGTAAGCAGAAGACAAGAAGTTGAATCCCCGGCAGGGACTGGTTAAAAAAATCAGATAAAACTCTCAGAAGCTGAGATTCGGTATTTGAAATTAAAAACAAAATACTACTGAAAAAGAAGGCCATAACTTCAGCTTTAACTCGAAAACAAATTCTACTCGACGAAAATGAATTTCAGATAATTTTTCAGAGGCACAAATATCCATTACTGCAACTTTTCAGAAACTTCCTATTCGTTGGGTACACTGTCCGTCAGGGAAAAACTGGCTTCAACAGCTTTTTTTCAATCTGTTACAGAAAGTCTCTGAACGATTCTGAGGAGGCGCTTCACTTTTTTGTGCAACTTGTTTAAAATGAAAAAAAAAACTATTTAAATATTAATTCATTCGAAAACAATCCCGATAGAAAGACATTATATTATGGTATTGAAAAGTGTTTAGAGAAAATGAAATTGTTATCAGGTGCAAGAAATTTCGAGTTTAAAATCGTATGTGAAGTGTCTAAAGCATGGTGCAAATGTTTCGAACGCGTTGTCTAGCTCGGCGGATTGGTCGTCTTTGACGCTCAATTTCCTCCCGTTCGCCAACCAATCGAATTTCGTCCATTTCCCTGGAAATGATTATTGAATTGAATTAATTGAAAAAGATGTTAAAGATCTTACCTGAGTCTGGCACGAACAGTCGATCGGCGGCATTCCATAGCGCCGTCTTCAATCATCGGTAGTTCTTCGTGACGATTGTATCTAAAATATCAATTTTGAACAACTGACAAAAACAATACTTATTGAAAAATTGTTTTAAGAAGCCATTCATAACTGAAGACGCCGTACGAATTGTAAGCTTATTCACCTGAGATACTCATTTCCTTTTTCATCGGCTTCAACCCGTCCCATGACAAACGGGGTACCGACAGTGAAAACGTCTTCTCGGCGTAGTCTTCGAAGTTCGTCGTCCCGTAGAACTTCGGTACGATCATGTGCGTGAATCTCACGAACTTCTCCATAGTTTCTGGTGGACCCATTGCCATTATGACAATCTCTCTGTCCGCCATTTCGATGAATTGAGCTCTCTCCATTCTGAAAAGAAGAAAAAATGAATAGATGAAAGGATATTAGACACTTACAGTAAGGTAAGAAGCTCTTTCGGTTTTTGGTGTAGACTTGTATAAACTTTGCGAAGGTGGATAAATTGGGTGATGAACTTGAAGAGCTGGATCATCAAACGTGGTCCACCTGCAGGTTGTGCTAGCTGCTTGATTAGATGTAATTGGGAACGAATGAACTTGTCGAGCAACAGTTTGAATTGGTGATCTGTTTCTTCTCAAGGTGTTTCGATTCTTTCCATAATCCGTTGAACTTGTTACGGTCACTCTTTTGATATAACTGACTTCAGTAGTTTCCCGAACAGTGGTCCATGTGTGCGGAGATAGCCGTCTTTGTTGTGGAGATGTGTGCGAATGAATCAGATTCTCAACTGACAAGAGTTGAGGAGATTCATCAATTGTAAGCGGTGGAAGAGGACTACGTGCACTTATGGATACAGAGAAACCAATGTCTTCTTTGGATTCTTGAGGAATAACGTTGAAGGAAACATCGAAATCGGGGTGTTTATCAATAGAAGCTCCAGTAGGAGATGATGTTGGATGTTGAGACTTTCTCGTAGTTTCAGTTTGAGAATACGAATACAAATGATGCTTTGAAAGTGCAGACGGATCCAGAATTGGTTGGCAACTCTGGTTCGAAGCACCTTCCCGTCTTGACAGTTGAGAGTTCTCAGTTCTGTACTGAGACCAGATGTATCCAGTTCTCTTCTGATTTTCATCATTCCCAATTGGTGTGTTTTCGATGATACTGCTTTCCGTTGGTTTTGTCAAGATATCGATCTGATCAGATCTATCAGTTTCTGATCTTCCGTAATTAATTTCAGTGTAACTAAATACGGCTGACGCTGGAGGATTAGAGCCATAAATCTCGTTTTCTGTTCTAGTATAAACATTTCGAACAGGAAGTGGATCTTGAGATTCGGCAACAACCGGACGCGCCTGGGAGACGTCATTTTCCTTCGATGTTCCAAATATTCCGCTGTCTTTGAATTTCAAAAGTGAAACACCAGACGTAGTGCCTTCCGCTTGGGAGGATGAGTCATCTCTAATGTAGGTAGTTTCTTCCTCGTGAACTGGAGAGTGAATGTCATCATAGATGTTTTGCTCAACCTCTACGGATGATGTATGAACGAAAGGTTGGACAATGATATCTTCTCGGAAAGTAGATGTAGACGGAGTGACTGTATGAGAAAGTGGAACGTCTTGAAGGTTCTCGGCACGATGAGTTGCGTCGAGTGGTCTATCATAATGCTCGGAAATTGGATAGTCAGCATGAGCAGAAGACTTCTTGAGCAATCCGGTAATCTTGGATTTCAATGATGGTTCGTCCTTCTTCTCGGTCTCCTCGATGACAACTGGAACAACGTGTTCTGGTAGTTTCTCGTAGCTGAATTCAGATGGATAGGAAGTGACTTCATGAGAAAGTGGAACGTCTTGAAAGTTCTCGGCACGATGAGTTGAATCCAATGGTCCATCATAATGCTCGGAGACTGGATAGTCAGCATGAGCAGAAGACTTCTTGAACAATCCGGTAATCTTGGATTTCAATGATGGTTCGTCCTTCTTCTCGGTCTCCTCGATGACAACTGGAACAACGTGTTCTGGTAGTTTCTCGTAGCTGAATTCAGATGGATAGGAAGTGACTTCATGAGAAAGTGGAATATCTTGAAGGTTCTCGGCACGATGAGTTGAATCCAATGGTCCATCATAATGCTCGGAGACTGGATAGTCAGCATGAGCAGAAGACTTCTTGAACAATCCGGTAATCTTGGATTTCAATGATGGTTCGTCCTTCTTCTCGGTCTCCTCGATGACAACTGGAACAACGTGTTCTGGTAGTTTCTCGTAGCTGAATTCAGATGGATAGGAAGTGACTTCATGAGAAAGTGGAATATCTTGAAGGTTCTCGGCACGATAAGTTGAATCCAATGGTCCATCATAATGCTCGGAGACTGGATAGTCAGCATGAGCAGAAGACTTCTTGAACAATCCGGTAATCTTGGATTTCAATGATGGTTCGTCCTTCTTCTCGGTCTCCTCGATGACAACTGGAACAACGTGTTCTGGTAGTTTCTCGTAGCTGAATTCAGATGGATAGGAAGTGACTTCATGAGAAAGTGGAATATCTTGAAGGTTCTCGGCACGATGAGTTGAATCCAATGGTCCATCATAATGCTCGGAGACTGGATAGTCAGCATGAGCAGAAGACTTCTTGAACAATCCGGTAATCTTGGATTTCAATGATGGTTCGTCCTTCTTCTCGGTCTCCTCGATGACAACTGGAACAACGTGTTCTGGTAGTTTCTCGTAGCTGAATTCAGATGGATAGGAAGTGACTTCATGAGAAAGTGGAACGTCTTGAAGATTCTCGGCACGATGAGTTGTGTCGAGTGGTCCATCATAATGCTCGGAGACTGGATAGTCAGCATGAGCAGAAGACTTCTTGAACAATCCGGTAATCTTGGATTTCAATGATGGTTCGTCCTTCTTCTCGGTCTCCTCGATGACAACTGGAACAACGTGTTCTGGTAGCTTCTCGTAGCTGAATTCAGATGGATAGGAAGTGACTTCATGAGAAAGTGGAACGTCTTGAAAGTTCTCGGCACGATGAGTTGAATCCAATGGTCCATCATAATGCTCGGAGACTGGATAGTCAGCATGAGCAGAAGACTTCTTGAACAATCCGGTAATCTTGGATTTCAATGATGGTTCGTCCTTCTTCTCGGTCTCCTCGATGACAACTGGAACAACGTGTTCTGGTAGCTTCTCGTAGCTGAATTCAGATGGATAGGAAGTGACTTCATGAGAAAGTGGAACGTCTTGAAGGTTCTCGGCACGATGAGTTGAATCCAATGGTCCATCATAATGCTCGGAGACTGGATAGTCAGCATGAGCAGAAGACTTCTTGAACAATCCGGTAATCTTGGATTTCAATGATGGTTCGTCCTTCTTCTCGGTCTCCTCGATGACAACTGGAACAACGTGTTCTGGTAGTTTCTCGTAGCTGAATTCAGATGGATAGGAAGTGACTTCATGAGAAAGTGGAACGTCTTGAAGGTTCTCGGCACGATGAGTTGAATCCAATGGTCCATCATAATGCTCGGAGACTGGATAGTCAGCATGAGCAGAAGACTTCTTGAACAATCCGGTAATCTTGGATTTCAATGATGGTTCGTCCTTCTTCTCGGTCTCCTCGATGACAACTGGAACAACGTGTTCTGGTAGCTTCTCGTAGCTGAATTCAGATGGATAGGAAGTGACTTCATGAGAAAGTGGAACGTCTTGAAGGTTCTCGGCACGATGAGTTGAATCCAATGGTCCATCATAATGCTCGGAGACTGGATAGTCAGCATGAGCAGAAGACTTCTTGAACAATCCGGTAATCTTGGATTTCAATGATGGTTCGTCCTTCTTCTCGGTCTCCTCGATGACAACTGGAACAACGTGTTCTGGTAGCTTCTCGTAGCTGAATTCAGATGGATAGGAAGTGACTTCATGAGAAAGTGGAACGTCTTGAAAGTTCTCGGCACGATGAGTTGAATCCAATGGTCCATCATAATGCTCGGAGACTGGATAGTCAGCATGAGCAGAAGACTTCTTGAACAATCCGGTAATCTTGGATTTCAATGATGGTTCGTCCTTCTTCTCGGTCTCCTCGATGACAACTGGAACAACGTGTTCTGGTAGTTTCTCGTAGCTGAATTCAGATGGATAGGAAGTGACTTCATGAGAAAGTGGAACGTCTTGAAGATTCTCGGCACGATGAGTTGTGTCGAGTGGTCCATCATAATGCTCGGAGACTGGATAGTCAGCATGAGCAGAAGACTTCTTGAACAATCCGGTAATCTTGGATTTCAATGATGGTTCGTCCTTCTTCTCGGTCTCCTCGATGACAACTGGAACAACGTGTTCTGGTAGTTTCTCGTAGCTGAATTCAGATGGATAGGAAGTGACTTCATGAGAAAGTGGAACGTCTTGAAGGTTCTCGGCACGATGAGTTGAATCCAATGGTCCATCATAATGCTCGGAGACTGGATAGTCAGCATGAGCAGAAGACTTCTTGAACAATCCGGTAATCTTGGATTTCAATGATGGTTCGTCCTTCTTCTCGGTCTCCTCGATGACAACTGGAACAACGTGTTCTGGTAGTTTCTCGTAGCTGAATTCAGATGGATAGGAAGTGACTTCATGAGAAAGTGGAACATCTTGAAGGTTCTCGGCACGATAAGTTGAATCCAATGGTCCATCATAATGCTCGGAGACTGGATAGTCAGCATGAGCAGAAGACTTCTTGAACAATCCGGTAATCTTGGATTTCAATGATGGTTCGTCCTTCTTCTCGGTCTCCTCGATGACAACTGGAACAACGTGTTCTGGTAGTTTCTCGTAGCTGAATTCAGATGGATAGGAAGTGACTTCATGAGAAAGTGGAACATCTTGAAGGTTCTCGGCACGATGAGTTGAATCCAATGGTCCATCATAATGCTCGGAGACTGGATAGTCAGCATGAGCAGAAGACTTCTTGAACAATCCGGTA